ATTTTAAACTGTCATACAATTTTTTTTCATCGATAGTCTGTAATTGGAACCATAACTCTTATTTATTCAAATCGTATTAATATGCAAAGACCAAGTGTAATCTATATCATCGTTAAATCTTATCTTATAAAATCAGTAGAACTTCAAAATCGTTAAAATTCATGGCTCCCGCYGCATTRCGCGGGTACACAACTAGTGATGTTTAATAGATGAACCTAAGCAGCAAGATCAGCCACTCGAGTCGATGAATACATGATCAAGAATTAGGACCACAATATGGCTTTCTTCCGGCAACAGCCCTAATATAATTATCAAAGATGATAAGCCATCTATATAGTTTTCGTTATCGATCAAATGCTCAAGGCTGCAAGGAGCATAAAGAGTCATCTTAGATAACAAAAACTATATAGATGGTTTGAGTTTAATTGGGTTGTTAGCAGGTTGGGTTGAACGGGTTTCGTGGGTTGACGGTTTTTAATAGGATGATCACCCTGGTATAATATTYTTCTATGGTTTYTGTTTCTTTCATTTGCAAGTTGTCAAACTCACATCTTAGAGTTTGAAGTCTCACTATTTGCACTTTTTCTTTCCCTCTGTAAGATTTGTATAACATATCCCGGGCTTCCTTAGAGGATTCTGAAGAGGAGATCCTTTCAAATACATATTTATCTACTGCTTGGTAGATCAGGGGCTGTTTGGCAATTGTTAAATGGTTTGGTGCAAAATGATTAAGTGGTTAGAATGATTAAGAAGCTTTCATGATATAGTGCAAATGAAATATAATTATTTAATAATTGTGTACAATGAAATTAGGGCTCTTAATGGTTAAGAGAGATCTAAGATACAAAATCATTCAGATGGTTTTAGAACCATTAAGAGGCATACTTTTTTTTGCCAAACAAGATTCACCTCTTAACGATTCAGATGTTGCCTCTTAATGGAACTATTAAGAGGTAAACAAACAATCCCTTATCTTTCTTCTTATTTTCAATTCTAAGGCATTTCACTACTAGAAAACTGGTCATTTCCGGCGCAATTTCTGGCGGACGGAATTCGCCGGTAATTTACCGGCGGATTTCCGTAGGACACCAAAAAAGTTAACTTTTTGTTGACTCCCACGTATTACCGGTGGATTTCCGGCGGATTTCATAAGTACTTAGTTTAATCTTGAATTTACATCTAATTACAAYATTTTACCGGCGGATTGGATAATTAAATATTTAAAAAAAAAAGAATTAACAATTTCCGGCGGATAATTAAATATTTTTTTAAAAAGAATTTAACAATTTTCGGCGGATAATTAAATATTTTAATTTTTTTTAATCATTTTCGGCGGATAAATAAATATTTTCAAAAAAAAAAGAATTAACAATTTCCGGCGGATATTTAAATATATTTTTTTAAAAATTTAACCATTTCCGGCGGATAATTAAATATTTTCTTAAAAAAAAGAATTAAAAATTTCCGGCTGATATTTAAATATTTTTTCCGGTTGATATTTAAATATTTTTTAAATTTCCGGTGGAAAATTATTTGAAAAAAATCATTTTAACTTTTTCCGGCGGATTTTTTTTTCTCATTTTTCAAACTTTTCTTTAAATAATGGATCGTATTGGACTTTAATAGATGTTAATGGGCTTTAATGGTTCTATTGGGCTTTAATGGGTGTTAGTTGGGCTTTAATGGATCTTATTATGTTTTAACGGTTATATTGAGCTTTAATGGATGTTAGTTGTGATTTGATGGATCGTATTGGGCTTTAACGGATGTTAGTTGGGATTTAAGGGATTGTATTGGACTTTAACGATTCTATTGGGCTTCAACGAATGTTAGTTGTGCTTTAATAGATCGTATTGGTCTTTAACGGTTCTATTGGACTTTAATGGATCGTATTGGGATTTAACGGTTCTATTAGACTTTAATGCATCGTATTGAACTTTAATGGGCTGTATTGGGCTTTAATGGATCATATTGGTCTTGAATGAACCGTATTAGGTTTTGATAGACCGATTGGGCATTAATGAATCATATTGAGCTTATAGAATGTATCGGGTTTTAATGGACCGTATTGGATTTTAATGGACCCTATTTTTGGATTTAATGGACCGTATTGGGCTTTAATGAACCCTATTTGGCTTTAATGGACCCTATTTGGATTTAGTGGAACATATTGGGGCATGTTGATGAGAATAGTGACGAAGAAGAGAAGTTCCAATACTCGGATAGTGACTTTGAGGACGAAGAACTTGACTTGTCTGATCACTCTTCAGATGATTAGGCTTCATTTGTAAACTTTTAGTCTTAGTAAACTTTGTGTAGTTGTTTTAAAATTTTATTATTTTCATTTTGGGTTGTCATTTGTTGGGCAAACATTATAATTGCTTAAGTTAGATATTACGTATGTGTATATATATCATTATTTAGTTTGGGTTGCAATTTGTTGGACAAACATAGGATTGTTTACGTTAGAAATTACGTATATATCATTATTTAGTTTGGGTTGGGCAAACGTTAGGATTGTTTTGGATACAATTTTCATATCTATTACTATTATTTTGCCTGGAAACTTCCCATTTACAGCCGTCATGCTGTCAAAATTAACTTGCAATCTTTTTTAAATCATATATAGGATGACTATTCAACGGGTCTCAGCCAAAGATACGGTAATGATCCCTCCACCTAGCCCTTAGTTARTAAAGAGTTGTGGGAGCAAGCAGTTGGGGGAAGCAAAAAAGGTCGTCTATTTAGGTTTGAGTACAACCAAGATCCCAATTGTGTCTTGACCGGGAACTATACGGAAGGTGGTTCATCGTCTTCGGATAAGCGGGTATGAGTCTCTTTTTCTTTTGATGATGTTTATCGACTTAGTTTATAATTCATATTAAATATTATAACGTTTTATTTATTTTATAGAAAATTGAAGCCTTAACTTCCCAAGTTATGGATTTACAATAAGAAAATCACCGCCGAAAGATGGTGAAGGAACAACTTCAGTCACAAATTAATGATATGGCTGCTATGTTTAACGAACTCCCTCAATCACAATTCCCACCGCCACCTAATTGAATATCGTTTGTTTATTTGGAACAATTTAGTTTGTTTGTAACATTGTGTGATATACTTTAAATTGTATATTGTATGTTTGTAACAATTGTTTAGTTTAATGTATGGTATTTGGTTGTATTTTAATTTGTTAGTTTTATCCTTATTTTTACAGATTTACAGGTTTTAAATATTTATTGAAACAATAAATAAAAAATAATTTTTTTATTCCGGTAGATATATCCGCCGGTAATATTGAAAATTTATAATAATATTTAAAAAATAAATAAATCTTTAAATAAATATTAAAAAAATAAAAAATATTACCGGTGGAAATATCCGTCGGGAAATTTAAAAAGTTATTTGAAAATCTAATTTTATTAAAATAATTTTCCGGCGAGAAAATAAATCCGGCGGATTTCTGGCGGAAATATCCGTCGGTAAATTAAATTTTCATTTTAAAAATTTTCTTAAATTTTTTATTAAGTAAAATCAAATTTTCCTAATTAAGCCGGAAAAATAAAGCATTCGCCGGAAAACTCGACGAAAAACGAATCACCGGCGCCCTCTTTTCCGGCGGACAAATCCGCCGGAAAAGAGGTCGTGTTTGGTAGAGTTTTGTTTGTTGTGCAGTAAGAGTCGTAGGGTCCTCTGGTTCATCGATGCCTTCTTCAATGGTTCCCCATAAATCTTGTGATTCCAATAGCACTTTCATTTGGATGGTCCAACGAAAGTAATTCCTACCATTTAGTTTAGGAAGTTGAGTATGTGATTGCATTTGCAGACCGTTTAGAGAACTTGAAGCCATATTTTAATGGCTCTCATACCAACTTGTCGTAAAACACAAACTGTTACCARAATATCTTATTCAAACTGATWTCTTTTACATACGTAGAAGAGGGGACACAACTACAATAAACAGAAAAACAAACCGACACAACCCTTCAAAGACAACAATTGACACGATAAGGACGTATCAGGTAACTGTCAGACATAACGTCTTATATAAGACGTTTGGCTTATAACCAATAACAACATACTAGTTTCACATAACGAAACACCCTTCTACGTCGAGTGGATTAAACCAACGTTTTGTGAAAGATGGGTACATAAGTCGATCTATATAGACCARCTATGAGTGGGAATTGTAGAGTAACAAAAAACAGAATGGGGAGGCAAGAAAGTCCACATATTGGACCAAGCATCCATGGGTTTTCACGACAAAAGAGAAGGTACAAGGTCGCACCGAAGGCTACCATCATGGAAGTTATAGAGAGCAACAATGTGCAAAGGCCAATAATTAATCGTTTCGGTAAGCTAACCAAAAAATCATTCTCAGCAAAACGTGCAGTGAGGATCGACAAGAACACCATTAATGAAGAAGTGGATGTGAATAATGAGATTGCATCTGATATAGCGAAGACAGTGAAGGCGATGTCTTTTCTAAACATGGGGATGCCTGTTTGTTGATCGCTTCCACCYGGTACAGTAATTGCTGCTGCRARTACGATGGTGGTAATTAGTGCAGCACTGATACTGCATGATTCTGCTGTGGTTTTCATCCACTTTTCTCCCTCCTTCACCAAGTTCTCATGTTCCCTAGTAAACACCTGATGAGGTGTCTCTCCAAAACTGTTTTCTTCRGTGATGGCTGATGGATGCATGAAGTTCTTCAGCTCCTACATAATCATTTATCTTTAGGCCACTACTTAACAAATCATGATTCATACTTGGATTTAATATATGTACCTCAAACCATTGAAGCTCCCTTTGTAGTTGCAATGCTGCACCTGTTCTACGTTTGAGTACTTGTGAAGGTGCCAATCTTCCAGCCAAGTGTAACATATTGTTTTCTGAAGAATCTTTGATGGTTCTATAGCGATTCTTATCCTCACCAATTAGATAGAGGCGATTGTAGATTTTGTCTGAACGATGTATTACTGCTAATTGAAAAATGTCGTACCCATTTTCATGTCTACTCTTAATTGCTTCA